GTGCTTTGGATGCAGCTAGTGTCTGTGTACAAGGAGAGAAGGAACTTGTTGTGTAAGAGGGATAAAAGCTTTTGAAGGTTAAGAATGAGTTAGCATTGGTGTTAATGGGAGAGTGGTGCACACAGTACAATGAGGTTTACAGGGTTGGTTGGCTCCTGAGTTCTCTTTGTAGTGCCCTCTCCTTGGAGTTGGAATTTTTCCTTGTACAGAGTGACAAGCTGGATAGCCATCAACCCTGATTTCACCTGGTCTTGACTCTCTCAGTCCAGTTGTAGGCCAATTTAACCTACATTGAGGAAAAGGGAGGGATTGAGGATGTTGGAAGTGGGTGGAAGGGCAGATAGAGATGATGCAGGCGAAGCAGAGATGGTCACGTATCCCCAGTGAGTGGATGGCAGATGCAAAATGTAAGGGTTAATAATTTGGGATGATGAAATGAGTGGGAGCCATTGAGTGAACATGATACATCAATAGTGAGAGTGTTAGTCCATGAGCCTTGGTCAGAGGCGTATGCATTGCTATAGCTAGAGAGAGTGGGAATCTGCGAGTGCGAGGTAACAGAGAGACAATGGCAGTACTGAAACTTGTAGAGCACAAAAAATCATTATACTTCTTCCTGCACTGCTGGACATTTAAAAAAAAAATCTATGATACACCACTAACACAATCTGTTCTCTGGATCCAGGCCAGGTGTGTCTGGTGGATTGGTTGTCTGCAGGAAGAATGATGGTTCTCTTCTCCACCAACCCACCCATGAATGCCTCTCAGTCCCTGTCAGAAAAATGGGGAGTGAGCTTTACTTTCTGTGTCATTGGATCAGTGATAACAGTGGAGCCCCCAGCATGACGGCCAGTTTCTGGCTTGCAATGTCTGAAAATGGTGTGCGGCTAGCGGGACTTTTAATATGGTCCCAATGATGTCACCACCAAAAAGGTCCTGGCAGTGGTAAATGCTTTTCCCTTTCCTGCTTTGCAAATGCATGAGAAGGGACTTAAAGAACGCAGTTGCATAATTAATGAGATGAAGGCAGAAGACTGTGTTAAAAAAAAACTCACCCAAACATGGCAACTGATACAACATTTTAACTGCAAGTGGGAGAATTCTAATCCTGGATACAGGTAACTATCTATTTGTACATTGGAGTTACACTGCAAAAGTAGACCATTAGGCTCAACAGTCCATGTTAATGTTTGTGCCTCTACCTGAACTTTCTCTCATTATTCTCATCTAAATCTGCCATCATAACCTTCTCCCTCATCCGACTGCCTAGTTTCCCTGTAAATACAAATGTAGTATAACCAATGTTAGACATAGGTTTAGCATAAATTCCTTCCTTTTCACTTATCTCCTGAGAACTAAAGTGTAGTGCTTGGTTTGCTCTGTTTTTTTAAAAGCTGTGACACATTTCCCAGTGATTGATGTATTTGTACTCCAGGATCTCCATGTTATTCTACAAAGAGTATTTTCTGCATTTAAATCTACCAAACATTTAAATTAGTTTTGCTCAGCAAGGCCAGGACTTGCATATTCTTTCACAGTAAATAGCAACAGGGGCATTACAATGTTTGTCCAATTTTACAGTGATGTTATATTTGCCAAAGTACAGAAAGGGCCATTCCTGGCATCCATATGGCCATTGGGGTACTATGTTGCTACTTGTCTTCTGGCACCACCTCCTGTTCCTGCTCAACCATGTGCTATAACCAACTTGGTATCCCCTCTTCAAATAGATTATTTACATCCTTATTAGTGTGTCACTATTTTGATGCTTTAAACCATTGGTAAGAATTACTGAAATATTTTGCATTTTACTAGCATTGGTTTTTCATAATGTCATCAACTATAAAGATTCTGATAAAATTAAACATCAGCATTTTTGACTTAACAATCAATGACATAAAAAGAAAGGTCATGTCTTTAGTTTAAGTGTTAATTAGCTATCCATAGAGAAATGTGGGAGCCATAAATTCATTTACCATTACAATGTTTGGAGCTTTGTAAGAATGGTAAAATAGTCTTAGGGTCAATTAGTCCTCACCTAGACCATCAGCAAGGAGAATTCTCATACAATGCATTCAGAAGACAATCAGATATCTAAGTTACAACAACAAATGTTTCAACCATTTCAACCAGATGTTTCAAACACTCTGAACTTCACATGCTAAAGTGAAGCAGAGAGATTTAGGGAGGGAAATCCAGAGTTTATGGCTGACACTGTTGAAAGCATTGCCATCAAAGATGGAGCAGTTTAAATTGGGAACGCTCAATAGCGTATAATGAGAACAGCACGGATTTCTTACAGGTCTGTCAAATCACAGGAGATTACAGAGATAGGGAAGGGCTATGAAGAAATTTGAGAAGTTTAAATTTGATGTGTTGCTCAGGTGATAGCTAATGTAAATTAGTGAGCACAGAAGAGATGTATGAACAGTATTTGATACAAGTAAGGGCATGGACATTAGACCTTTGGGTGACCTCAAGTTTATTAAGCATAGTAAATGGAAGGTTGTCTTGGAGTATGTTGGAACTTCAAAACTAGAAATAGCATAGGAATGGATGAGAGTTTCAACTGATGTAAGGGTAGAATATAAAAAGTGAGTGGTGTACAAATTGGGTGGTAGCAGATTGGATGCTTCTTTTGTAGCTTACATCATCATTGTTTCCATTGCCTCATTATTCTGAACACACACACCAGGCAGATTTTAAAGTGTTTTAGTAATCAGGTTTCTGAAGTGTCCTGAAATCTTTAAGGATAAGGGAGTTTTTATCTAATTCTATCGTTCCTGTTACTGTAACTTGATATAGTTTTGTGTGAAATTACACCAGAAACTTCAACAGACTAAGTTCTTCACTTACTGGATGACATAAATTTCCTTGCGTCTAAAGAATATCGAGGAATAACTGTAAGAAAGGAGCCATCAGAATGTTAGTCTGTAAATTTTTAAAATGTTGGTTTTGAAAGTCAATGTCACGCTTTAACATTTTGTTTTGGCATCGGCGTATTTGCTGGTAGCACACAGGGGATGTTGCCAACAGGTCAACTAACATAATTCTCGAACAACACAAGTTCCTTAAATCGGCAGTTAAATCATGGCCATTCACATTGTCACACTAGATAGATTTATCAAATAATTCATGCTGTGAAACACAATCACTCAGAGAAAGATAGCCATAGCAGTTGTAAGTTAATGATTTAGCAGATCAATACAAATATAAATACTCAAGAAAACCAAAAGAAATAGAAATGTGCTTTTAAAACTGAAACCCTTCAAATCTGCTTATAGTATGAATGAAGGTCCTAAGTACTGGTCTACATATATAAATAAATCAAAAAATAATGTCTAATATACTCATTGATTTTAGTGCTGCTGTTTCACCCCGTATCATCATTATCCTGAACTGAACAGTAAGATGAAGTGTATTCTAACAGATTTAACTGGAATACAATCCATTCACTCACTTCTGGTGAAGAATTGAATACAAGGATGAAAACTGTCCCAATGTTATATATGTTTATTATGAAGGTAGATGTGGGCACCTTGTGTTTGATTTTAGATCCTGAAAATGCAGTGGTGCAGAAGGAAGCAATACATATGTCTTGTTTATAACAGTATCTGAGAAAACCACCTCAACTTCCTTTCACACCAGCTATTTTCACACTTGGTTAGGGCAATTGGAAGGATTAGGAATGGCCTAAAGCTGACCTTCTGGTCTGGGTCACTTAAATGAGGTAGCTTCCTTAGTTACATTGTTAGTCTCATTAAAATAAGAACAGAAATTAACAATGACAGAGCTTCTTTGTATCTACGATGTCTGAAAACATCCTTTAAAATTGTACTTATGAGTCTGCTTCTTCAGCATTTTTATGCTTTTTCAGTGCTTAAACAGGAACAGATGACAATAAACTCAAAATCGGGTCATCAAGCTCTTATCAGGAGATTATTGGATCTACTGGGCAGCTCTTACAATGAATTATCAACTGGCCCAAATTATGAGGAGCACATATGGTGGCATTTATCTCTAATCTGCATATTATTTCCTTAAACAGCAACCTGGGCACCAGATATTGGGCAGATGAGAAATTGTGAATGTGATAAACTTTCTCCCTAACCTGCTCCTTTAGTTTTCCACAAAAAAAATGGTACGGGAAGGTATGTAACAAAATTCTAAACCAATGTATTTAATGATTTTTACTTAATCTATGGAAAGATGAACTATATTAGTTTGGCCCCTGATTACAATAGTTTCTAAATGATTTCAAACACATTTCGTTCATTATTTTCAATTTATCTTTGCTTTGAATTTTCTTTTATTCACTGCAATCATTGTTTAGAATTACCTGAATATCTGCTTGTTATTCAAACTGTATGATGTACAATTTTAAGTTTAATTCACACTAGAGTATTTCATTTGAATGAATTGATCCTTTAATATTTCCAATATTTAGTCTACATTTGAAAGGATGAACAATCAAAAATATCAAAAATAATTAAAGGCAAAGTATGGATATAATTTTCAAGGCAAAGTACAGATATAATTTTATATCTGATATGCAGATAGTGAGCTGAATAAACAAAGTAATTACATGCTAAATTTCTTTCTTCCATACATTCACATTTCACAATCAGTTTTCTTATCCTGTACCTGAATTTCTGATCTATTTTGTCCAACCAATTGCACTAATACATGAGCAAAGTATAATTAGAATTTATCATGTTGAAACATAGTTTTCAAATAGCTGTTTAATATTTCTTTAAACCAATTTAAATTTCAGTGTCACTTAGTCAATTTTAAGGCAGAAACAAAATGTTGCTGCATTTCTTTTGGAAGATTTAAACCCAGGGAAGATTGACTGCTTTTATAAACTGGTGTGAAGTGTCTAAATGATGGAATTTGGCCTTTCAAAAAGGAGTGTGATCTCAATAAATAACAGCATAGCAAACAAGTACAGGTCAGAATGGGGTCATGACTCGTTGGCTGCTGCAATTTCGGAAGCTTACCGTGTCAGCTTCTCCTCCTTTAGTTCCAGGTCAGTCACCGCAATCATCTGGTCCAGCTTGAATTTAGTGTCAACAATTTCTGCATCCCTCGGAGAGTATGTGCCTCCTTCCTTCTGTTTCTGTCTTATTCTGCATAGGGATTTCAGATAAAGAAATAGTCAGTACACATACATAACACAATAGTGATAAGAAATATTAACTCAATCATTGTTTACAAGAAGATAAATGACTAAAGTTTCCAACTTTGTTTTTCCTTGCAAAGGGCACTTTTATGGCAGCATTGATTGGTAAAATATTTTCAGGCTCTTTGCTTACCTTAATGCCATACTGCCTGTATAGAGAAAAACTGGAGAAATTGGTGTGGAATAGATAATGCTGTTCCATCAAATATGATACATGTTAAAAGTGCAGCTTCATCAGGACAATTCACAAGAATACTAATTCAAGGTATAAACCAACAGGACAGAAGGGTGCTGATTGGTTGGCATGTGGACTCTGATTGGTAGAGGTATTTCTGTGGAGGATGAACACATTAATGTTGATTGACAGTTAACAACTAAGTTTTGTTTAAATTTTAAACCGGTAGGTGGATTCTGATTGTTCAGGGCATTGCCCTGATAAATTAACCAGTGAATAGCTGTCACTCATTTTGTAGAGTTGAAACAAGCAATACACATGTATGGGGTCTTTCTGCTTACAACAAATAGAACGTTGTATATATGTATATATAGCTTCCAGGACATGCAAGGGCACCACAATGCGAGCTTGATGGCAATGCTAAATTGGTTGGCAGTGTATCCAGAAAATGCTGTTCAATTGCAGAATGATATCTAATGTTGGGCACAGTGTTATTACTTTTGCAAGTGTGGGCTAATTGGCTATGACCAAAATCTCATTTGTTGCGAATAGCCAAACGGATGCAGTCAGCCAGTGTTTGGGATGTACAGCATCCTTACCTGGCATTACACTGATTTATTTTTCAAGGCTATGCCCTGATCAATCAGAGTCAATTTGTCTGATATAAAATTTAAATAAAGTCTGGATGTTAACCATCATTCAACATCAAGATGTGACCAATCTGCAATCTTCCCTCATGAAATTCAAGTGTCTATTTTCCTCTTGAATTTTTGCATTCTTGCAAAATATTCTGATGAACATAAGATTAAAAGCTTGTGCAAAATGCATCCTTTTTCAACAATACTCAAGTTATGTACTAACAAGTGACTTTGTGTCAAATAAATAAATGTATTTCAACTAGCAATACATACAAGCGAGGGGTTTAAGTGCACACTAATAGCTTAGAATGAACAACTGCTGCTATAAGCACTTTCTTGAAGAATTATACTGTAGGAATGTGATGTAGGAATGATGGGATGGTTTCCAAAGCTATGGCAATGCAGCTTAGAATTTAAGTTGTAACAATTTCCATTGTTAAACAGGCCATAGAGACAAGGGAAAATTGAAGGTTGAGTTTCCATAGAAGCCAACAGATCCATAGCTGAGATTGAGATAAGAAGGAGGGCCTGCAGTAGTATATAATTATCAACCTATGCTGAAAATTTTGCAATGGAGGTTGCCATAAAACTGGACAAAGCTTGTCCCCAGCATTGATATTCACCAGTTCAGGGGTGTTATGACATCTCTGGAGCAGTTGAGGCTTGAACCTGGCCTTTGCTGTTCAGAGTTAGGGGTACTCCTACAGCACCGCAAAGGCTTCTCGCCCCCATACAAAAGACTCAAAGAGGCAGCTTTAAAATCAACAGGTTAGTTGAATTTACACATTTTAAAAATGAAGGCATTTATAATATTTGTCCTTCCTACCTCGCAATTACATAGGCAGCTATCACAAGGAGAACGACAGAAAGCACACACAAAGTCACTGCAAGTATTATTTCAATTGTTCTTCCTGATAGACCTTCAGCTGTAATGACAATATAAGCATGTTAAAAAAAATTGCACGTCATATAAGTAAAGCTACCAGTACTAAAATGGAGTAGCAGAATGCATTCTGAACTTGCACTACTGAACAAAATGAAATGAACATGGAGTCAAAATTCAATATCAGGTAAAAATGAGCATGTTGACTTTGATGATTGATTAACTTTACATCATAGAATCCCTTCGGTACAGATAGAGGCCATTCAGCCCTTTGAGTCTACACCGACCCTCCGAAAAGCATCCCACCATACCTCAGTGACACCACATTTCCCATAGTTAACACACCTAGCCTGCACAATAAGGGGTAATTTAGCATGGCCAATCCATCTAACCTGCACATCTTTGGACTGTGAGAGGAAACCCACGCAGACAGAGGGAGAATGTGCAACAGGCAGGCACCCAAGGCTGGAATCAAACTCGGGTGCCTGGCTCTGTGAGGCAGCCATGCCAGTCACTGAGCCACCATGCCATCTCCAGCTTCCAATGTAGGCTGCATACAAACTTTGTGCTGCCTATTCATTTCAAGAATTGCAGTACACTGCTAGGTTGCACAGAGGCAGGATGGTGAGCCATTTGGCATTGTGGCCTGCAGCCAGGAAAAGGGTAAAGGATAATGCAGCTGGCAGCTTGCAGGAATGGGAAGATGTTTGCAAGTTCCATTGTACTTGACTTAGATGAGAACAAGCATTGTACAAAAAATTGAAAGGTAACCATACTGAAATGCTTGGTGCATTGGCAGTCCTTCCAGAAAGATTACCATTATTATAAAGGAGTACATAAGAGTACAGCACCAAACTTGCACATGGCTTTGTGCAGGCATGGAGCTCAATATTTTCCAGTGTGTAAAAATCCATGCAATGTATAAATATTGTGTTGGAAACTCAGAATGAAGTCATGTAACTGTAGCTTGCTGTCATCATGACTGCGGATAACACTGTTCAAGGCTCTTACAGGGTTTCACAACAGTCCAGCAATCTGCCCTCTGATTAGATTGCTGAGGTGGTGGAGCTAGTTGTTTGCAGCAATCATTTGAATTAGCAGGGAAGGACTGGCTGGATTAACAGTAAGGGCTTCAGACTCCAAACAAACTGCATAAGAACTCATAACTGGCCCCTGAAATGGCCAGGCAAGCTACTCAATTCATAAGTAATTTGGGATTGACAACAAATACTGACCTTGCCATGGTCACCCACATCCCTTGAAAGAATAAAAGGCACAGGATAATCCTGCATCATGATCTCCATGGCCATTTTTGTGTCCTGTCCAAATTTGTGGCCAATAAGCAACATTTTAAATCATGATTTAAAGAGTGAACGTTCCCTTATGTCAGTGAAAAACAACAACTAGAGACTTTGATGTTGGTCACTTTTACAGCATGAACAAATACAATATGATTTAACTGTTAAAACCCGCTGTCTGGTTTTCAAATCATTAGAACTCTTGAACAGCAAGAACAATGAATAAACACATCTAAGAAACAAAAATAATACGAAGTATGAACAAGAAAACACAAGACACTTGTTTCACCATAAATAGTTGCTTTGAACTGGATGAAGCAACAAAGCTTTGTTTATATAGGCTCATTAAACACATCAAATCAGAGTTACTTTGTGAATAAATTTAACACATTGGTATGCTGATTCTTGCGGAATAGTCTTTCATTTTTGTTACTGAAGGTTAAACCTTGCACTTTCTGGACTTTTCAGTGCAAATATTTTTACAGAGACTTAAAAATCTCAATTTGACAAAGTGTTTCAAATATATTTATCTCAGCTTTAAACACTATTGTATAAGTGATGTAATTTTATTGAAATTGCTTTTCTCTGAATCCAGAAATAACTTGGGTGTCAAGATATGGAAGGTATGAAACTCTATCAGAAAATGAGACTGGCAATGTTGTGGTAAACAAGAGGAAAACAATACCAATGGAAATTATATTAATTTAGCTGTTAAATATTTTTAAAAAGTAAGCATTGTGAGGAGAATGGACAGAACCATCAGCTGTGCAGTTTTAAGAAATGCTAGCAAGTACATATAAAGAGGTGCTGATCAAATATGGCCTGTTTTATATCCATTAAAAGTAACACCATGCTTACTAACAGCTTCTCATACCACAAAACTAAATATGAACATTATTTCACAGCTGATGCTTTTGCATTAGACTAAGATAATCTCTTAAATTGTTTTTTATCTTCACTTTTCTGTATTATTGGGAAAGAAACACTATTGGAAGTTTTACAAGGCACCTTACTTCTATATTTTAATGTGTTGATTCTAAAGAGAAGGTCTGCTGTATTCTTTATGAATTCAGTGTTGGAGCCTAGAAGCCACGGTAAGGATGCAAAAATACTTCGGCAGCTAAGGCTCATTAACTTCAAGGTAACAGTTTTCTGATTTGTCCTTACAAATATGGAACACCTGCAGCACCATAAATGAATAACTCAAATATAAAAGGCCTTAGTATCATAAAATTACCAAATTAGATTATATTTTTCAATTCTATTTTGTATAAATTACCGAGGGTCTTGACTGGATCAGAGTAATCTGAATCAGTAAATTGTCTTTGAAAGTTTGTTGCTCTGAACTTGAATCTAGAAAAAGACAAATGTATGACAAATAAAGTTAACTACAAACTATTTCCCATTATACCTATTATAAATTTGCACACCTTATTTTCTCATATTCAGTGGCTGTAGCTGACATAAACAAATCTAGGTGTCATAATTTTTTATGAATACTGATTCATACTGACCAACATGTATATAATAAAAGGATACCACTGTAAGAATATATAACTCTGTTGTGATTTGTGTCAACTGTGCTATTGTTTATTTCTATCTCACGGTCCACATGGAATTTATAATTGGACTCGTTTATAGAAAATGACCCAGCTTATTTTGATACTCAATAGCTCCAGAACAGATATTATAAGTGCATTGCTTATGAAATAGTTGGGCCAAGCAATTCAGTTCAAATAGAAATATATTTTGCTGAAATACGATCTTGATTTGAGTAGTAGAAAGTTATATTTTTATTACGCTGGCCAAATTTTGCAAGTCTGAGATGGATAAGTCAAGAACACTACCACTACCAGCATGTTCCACTCCAAGCCACTCACCATCTTGACTTTGAAATATATCACTATTTCTTCAGTGTTGCTGGGTCAATATCCTGGAACTACCTCTCTAGCAGCATTGTATGTCTACCTACACCAAATGGACTGCAACATTTCAGGAAGACAGTTCACCACTACCTTCTCAAGAACAATTAGGGATGCCCACATCTCATGAATGAATAAGAAGAAATCTGCCAGTGTTCATACGGTTTATGTTTAGATAACTTATGCCAATTCATTTAAATGATTTGGGAAGTCGACATGGCTGTTGAGGGATGATTGTCCTGCAGTTCTTGAAAATATACTATGTAGCATTAGTTCCATTCACTGGTTATAGCCTAACTTATTCAGTATTTATTCTATTAACTTCCAAACTGGAGGAAGATTATATAAGAGGAAAATGACCAAAGGAAGAAACGGTGATGAGAGTTTTGTGAGTTTATTACAAATTACCCTGAGATGAAATTGGTAAATCCACATTGCTTCATAATGAGCAAGGGCTTGAATGTAGGAATAACTGTTAGTAAATATCCAAAAATGTAACATGCTTATCAGAACTATTGCTATTGGTATATTGAAGAGTTGGGGATAATTAATTATATAGTAATGTTCAGGCCATTATGATGACACAAGATTATCAAACAAGAAGTCCATGCCTTCTGAACAATAAAAATCTGTGCACATGTAGAATGTCAAGTTCAGTCATTGACATTCCACTGAAGTTTAAATGTCAAAGATGCTTAGGCCCAGTAACACTAGGTGGCAATACAATAGAGCATTAGTTTATTACCATTAATTGATTTAACTGAACAAAAAAAAATTCCTTTCCTTTCTCATTCTCACTGCTACAGCAGTAACATTTAGCTGAAATTAAACTAAAACTAAAAAAAAGCAAATAACAGGAGCATTACATTGCAAAAATATTAACAAATCTAGTCTATTTCACATCCACTGATCTTTTAAGGATGAACAAGAACAGTATCTGGCTTTATTCAATTTAAAAATATAAAATAAATTAAATAAGAACCAAGCTTTTACTTACAAGTACTGTTTATCATGTTTTAATGGTCCATTGCAAATTTTATCTACATTTTGTTGGCATGATTTTTCACTTCCAATGGTGTATGTTTCTTCAATAGCATTCTGTCGGTATGTGTTTGTTTCACTGCAGTGTGGATTTTGAAAGCCTTCATTTGCGAAATATGGTTTTGGCTTTCTTACATAAGCATCATACCATGTAGAAATATTTCCATCATTCATAGCTGTTGAGAAATTGAAATTAAAATTAAGAAGCAAAACATTTCATTAGGTTGAAAGCAAAATATGGATGTGGGAAATTTGAAATAAAAAGAGAAAATGCTGGAGAAACTCAGAGAGAGAGAGAGAGTGTTAATTCCACCAAAACTGTCATGAGCAAAGGATTAAATTCTAACCTACTTGTGGCCATGACATAGTAGCTTAGATCATCATTTTCTTTTTCTCTATGATATGTGTGGCTGCTTATACAGAGGAATCTGGCCTCCACTGAGTGCATTTACTAAACAGTTTTCTTGGAGCAGGACCTTAACAATAAAGCTTCTAATGCAACTGTTCATGTGTAGTCAGACTACATACTATAAAACTGAACATTTTCAGTAGATAACTTCCATTTTATTAAAAACAATAGATATATTATTCACTGCAGAAAATGCAGCTTTATTACATTTATTCCTTGTATAGGAATATTCCTTCTTTGGGATTTTCAGCCCCAACAGAATTCAAATCTCGTTTTTCACATTATTCCTGTGTGAGTGTGCATTCTTTCTGCTATACAACTCTATGCCTCTGCATGATGAAGTTCCTTTCTCAAAAATGTATTCATGGATGTGGGTGCTTTGACTGCATTGGCATTTATTGCCCATCCTTTATTGCTCTAAAGAGGTTTGTGCTCCCATCTTGAAACTGTTACAGTCTTTGGAGTGTGCAGACATCCACAGTGCTGTTTGGAAAGGAGTTCCAATATTTAGACCCAGTGACAGTAAGGAATGATGTTACGGTTCCAAGTCACAGTGGTGTGTGGCTTGGAAGGAAACTTGCAAGTAGTTCTGTTCACGTGCATATGCTGCCATTATCCTTCCAGGCAGAAGAGCTCCCATGTTTGTAAAGTGTTGTCAAAGGACTCTTAGTTAGTTGCTGCAGTGCATCTTGTAGATGTTTAACTCTGTTGCCACAATGTATTGGTACAAAAGACCTGAACTTTCGAAGGTTCTGAGTAGCATGCCAATCAGGTGGACTAGCAGTAGTAGTCCACTACTTTGTCCTGTGTGCTATTGAGCTGCTTGAATGTTGTTGGAGTATTCCATCATATTTATTACCTGCATATCCAACTTGGATGAAAGAATAATATTAAACAGGACTATAAAGCTTAAACCTAAAAGATAGAAAACAGAAAATTGAAGTAACATTTGTGAGATATTCTAAGTATGGAGAATAAGAATTGCAAAAAAAAAATGAAATGGCTGTAGAAACTTGGGGAGATCACTGAAAACAGTGAGAGAAAATTACTCAATAAATTTGGCTATTTGATTGGGCAGTGCAAAAGATAAAATCAAAAGGCAGGGGAAACAAAGGCAAGCTTTGGTTACTGCTCTCAAAGGGTTGTGAGTAATCACCACCCCAGAGTGCAGTGGATACTAGGAAATGGAGTAAATTTAAGGAGGAGAAAGACAGATTTTTTATTAGCAACTGGTTAAAGGGTAATGGGGAGTGGGCAGGAAAGGAGGACAAAGATCAATTAGCTTAGAATGCAATGCAATGTAATGTCAACATGACAAAGTTAAGGGCACTCAACCTGAATGTGTGCAGCATTCACAACAAGATGAAGGACATACAGACATAAATAGAAGCAATTGTGTACTTTCTAACTGCTGCTATAGAAACATGGCTGTGCACTGACCAAGACTGGGAATTGAATATTAAAGGATATTCCTATTGTTATTTGTTATTAAGCCTGCCAATAAGTGTGGTCCTGTTGTAGTCTGGTGTATTGACCTTTACATTACAGAGGCTGAACGCCAGCTCTCAGTTACCTCCTTCTATCTTCCCCTGGACCATGACCATACCCTGGTACATCAGTCCATTGTATCAACTGCAGTAGCTGAACTCATTTTATCTGGTGACCTCCACTCAACTGCCTCCAAGCTGATAGTACCCCAACCCCGCACAGCTTGCTTCTACCTTCTTCCAAAAATCCACAAACACGACTGTCTGGGCAGATCCATTGTTTCAGCCTGCTCCTGCCCCACAGAACTCATCTCTTCCTACCTTGACTCAGATTTCTATCTCCTGGTCCAGTTCCCACCCACGTATATCCATGATTCCTCTGACACTTTACACCGGTTTCAAAATTTCCAGTTTGCAGTCTCCAGCTGCCTCCTCTTTACCATGGACGTGCAATCCCTATACAACAGGATGGTCTTAGGGCTCTCCGTTTCTTTCTAGAGTGGAGGCCTGAACTGTCCCCACCCACCACCACTCTCTTCCACTTGGCTGAGCTCGTCCTCACCCTCAACAACTTCTCTTTTAAATCCTCTCATTTTCTTCAGGTCAGAGGGGTAGCCATGGATACCTGCATGGGCCCCAGTTATGACTGTCTCTTTATGGGGTATGTGGAACATTCTTTGTTCCAGTCCTATTTTGATCTCCACCCACAATTCTTTCTTCAATATATCGATGATATCATTGGTGCTGCTTCCCTCTCTTGTCTGGAATTGGAAAAGTTCATCAATTTCACTTCCAATTTCCACCCTGCCCTCACATTCACCTGGTCTATCTCTGAATCCTCCCTTCCCTTCCTTGACATCGCTGTTTCCATTTCTGGGGATAGACTGGCCCCTAATATCCACTGACTCCCATAGCTTTCTGGACTATACATCCTCGCACCCTGCTTCCTAGAAAGACTCCATCCCAGTCTCTCAGTTCCTCTGTCTCCATTGCATATGCTCAGATGAGGCTAACTTCGACAAGGGAGCCTCCGAAATGTCCACCTTCTTCCTCAAGCAAGGATTTCCAGCACCATTGTCAATTGGGCCCTCAACTGGTTCCGACTCATATCCCGCACTTCTGCCCTCATCCACTCTCTTCCCTCCCAAAACAGTGATAGGGCTCCCCTTGTCCTTACCTACCATTCCACCAGCATCCACATCCAGAAGATCATCAGACACCATTTCCGCCACCTCCAGCGAGATGCCACCACCAAACACATATTCCCCTCCCCTCCTATGTCCACCTTCTGCAGGGACCATTCCCTCCGGGACACCCTGGTCCACTCTTCCTTCACCCCCAACATCCCCCAACAGCTCCACAGCACCTTCCCATGCAACCGCCAAAGGTGTAACACCTGCCCATTTACTTCCTCCCTCCCCAGTATCCAAGAGCCCAAACATACCTTCCAGGTGAAGCAACACTTCACTTGCACTTCCCACAATCTCGTCAACTGCATTTGCTGCTCACAATGTGGTCTACTGTACATTGGGGAAACGAAGTGTAGACTGGGTGACCACTTCACAGAACATTAACATTCTGACCGCAAAAAAGACCCTGAGTTTCCATTTGCCTACCACTTTAATACACCACACTGCTCCATGGCCAACATCTCTGTCTCTGGCTTGCTGCAGTGTTCCAGTGAAACTCAGAGCAAGCTGGTAGAACAACACCTTATTTTCCACTTGGGGACAATGAAGCCCTCTGGACTCAATATCTAGTTCAATAATTTTAGGGCCTAAACTCTCCCATGTCCTAGCCCCTACCCCACACAGCAGTCCTTATTGTCACAGAGCCTACCATCAGACACTACCTATTATTAGTCACTAACAGTCCCTATTAACAGCCATTCACCCTCCTAGCCAGATCGTTATCAACTCCTTTGTTTGAGGAAGGGTCACTGGACCCAAAACATTAACTCTGATTTTTTCTTCACAGATTCTGCCAGACCTGCTGAGCTTTTCCAGCAACTTCTGTTTTTGTTCCTGATTTACAGCATCTGCAGTTTTTTCAGTTTTTATAAAGGATATTCCTAGTCTTGGTCAGCTACAGGCACGTTATCCTTGTGAAAGCATATTCAATATTTAGAAAGAACAGACAAAAGGGAAAAGGAGGTTGTGTGGTGCTGATAATAAGGCATGGAGTCAGTATATTATGAAGGGAGAATCTCAGATTAGAAGAACAAAATGTGGGATCTGAAATAACTCCACAAAGGCTGGTATCCTGTCACCAAATAACCCCTTATACACACATGGAGAGTCCTTGACACTGCTCTGGCTCCCTTACAGCCAACTCTCAGAGTGAATAGGATGTCCGACACTCCTGTTCTCATCTATATGCCAGGGCTCCCTGATTGGAACAGGTTAACATATTCTATGAGGTCCATCTGGCCGACCTTGTTACAATCACTACATTCCGTCCCCTCAGAGTCCAAGGACATTTTTTTGTAGCTCCTCCTGGGACCTTTTAGCACCGGGTCAGGTTCCTCCAACTCTGCCTCTGATATAGATGGTGTGTAATGCACAGTAGCTCACCTCTTGCGCCCAGGGCATCTCAGAAGAAATTCATTCTCTTCTTCAGGCGGCAAAGGTGTCGATAGGGCAACATCCATTTTATCCATGTCAGATTCTGAAGTATCTTCAACGCTTGATGTAAAGTGAGAACACATGGATTCCAGAACAGTTGGAAGGCAGTTGAGGAGCTGGGCTTGTTTGCTCCCGCTCCATTTGCAAGTCTGCAGCTTTCATATGGTCAATGTGTTTGTTCAGGACTGTTGCATCTGAACGAGCTTTATACGTCACTGGACTTGACCTCATATTGACCATGCCTCTTACCCATGCAGGACCATTCCTGTGGTTCCTACACCAAACTTTATCCTCTGAAGTAAACTGTCTCTCTCGCTTGACAGAGTCATGTGTCTGGCTTTGGTGTTCCTAATGCTGTTTCACCCTCCCCACCAGGTCTGGGAAGATCCGAGTACAAGTTATAAATAAAGTGGAAGGGCCAAGCGGAGCATAATTTTCTTTTTATTCAAAAGTTTGTGAATCCTTAGTATTCTCTGTCCCAGGCATCTTTGAAAGCTCAGTTATTGAGTATGTTCAAAGTAGAGATTAATAATTTCTAAATACCAATTAATACAAAGGAATATGGGGATACCATGGGTAAAAATGCACCGATGTGGATAATCATCCATGGATGATAGGTGAAGGACGTTAAATGGGCCGAATGACCCCATGCTGCT